ATTTTTGATGATTGTATGAACATGAGTGGCTAAGAACCCTATTGTTCTAGGGTCAATGGATTAGATGGATCCATACTTACTATATCAAAAATCAGTAATTCAACATTACCCCGACCCCTCAATAGGCTTGCTGGATGGTTAGGAAGATCTTTGGAACTCGAGGTTCCCTAGAGAATATTATACTTGCACAGACACCTCAGAAGAGCCTAATCAGAAAAATATACTTTCATCAAGGGTTGAATGGAAAAGCATCATGTTTAACAATGCTGCACGACCAAAAGCAAAGTTTACAATGTGGTTATTGATGCATAGAAGACTATTGACAACTGATAGATTAAGCAAATGGGGTATACATGTGAATACATAGTGTGCCTTATGTCAAGAGCGGGAAGAAACAAAAGAACACATGTCTGTGCACTGTAGATATGCAAGAGTTGTATGGACAAAAGTATGGCATTGGATACAGTTACATGAGCCTGCGGTGGAAAAGGGCATTTGGCAAATATTTGTCGCATACTAAAATATTTGGTTGAGCTTTATCAAGCATCTCTAAATAATAAAGGCCCTGAAGCTAATTTTCTCTATGACAATAAATTTGACATCACCCACTTGGATGTGGCAGATTTCTTTGAGCACCCTGATGGAAAAATAAACCATTTGATCGGTGATAAATCCGTGGTTAAAGATGATTGAGTAGTTTGATTGTTATTTTTGCCTATTCGTAGTAGCTAATGAATAAACATCATGTAAGTTTTATTGTGCTTAATAATACTGCTTATGTAGTTCTTAAAAATATATGTATTTTCGGAAAAAAAAAATGAAGATTCAATGTTTCACAAATCTCACAAACGAGGGGTAATATCTAATTAATTAGTATTCTAGTCTAAGTGATCTTTTAACGCTTTTGATTTTCCTTTTCATTACTTTAATTCTCTTTAAGAAAAAAGTTTACAAGCACCCTGAAACAATTTTTGTTACTTGACCCTCAATTCCCATATTTTTTTGAAAAAAAAAGAAGAAAAAAAATCTAGTACACCGGGACCTCAATTTTTTCATGTACATAAATAAAATATTAGGAATAAAGAAAAGAGAAGCACCTAAGTATGTTCTTTTCGTACACGGATCAATTATTTTTCATGCAATGTGTAGGAAAATGTAAATAACTTATACATATAAATAGTTTTGTTATAGTTGTATTAGTCATATGTGTAATGTACTTATAATTGTATTATTTTTACTACGTAATTATTTATATCATAATTAGAATTTGCTCGAAATTGCATTAAAAGGTCACTATTGAATCAATGGTTTAACTTTATTTTTTCGCTTTTCTCTGAAAATACTAATATTTATTCATATACTTCTTTTTGTATGTCAAACCATGGGAATCAAATATGGATATCTCTCAAAGCAAACTTGGATCAAAGTTCAATTATAAAAATATTTGCTTAATTGATTCATGTACGACACATACAATATTCAAAGAGAGGAAATATTTTTCTCATTTAAGTATGTGTAAGGCAGATGTTACTGCAATTTCTGGTAGTAGTAATCTAATTGAAGGCTCTGAAAAAGCTAATATAACTCTGCCTAAGGGAACAATACTTATCATATAACATGCAATGTTCTCCTCCAAGTCCAAGAGGAACTTGTTGAGTTTTAAAGATATCTGTCAAAATAGATTTTATATTGAGATAATAGATGAGAATAATATCGAATATCTCATCGTTACCAAGAATGTCTCTGGCCAGAAAAGGGTTATTGAGAAGTTCCCATCTTTATCTTGTGGACTGTATTGGACAAGAATTAGTGCAGTTAAGGCACATTCTATCGTAAACCAAAAGTTTACTGGTTTCAATACTTTTGTACATTGACATGATCGATTGGGACATCCTGGATCAATTATGATGAGATGAATTATAGAAAACTCAAATGGGCATCCATTAAAGAATTTAAAGATTCTTTTAAATAATGATTTTTCTTGTACTTCTTGTTATCAATACAAGTTAATTATTAGACCATCACCAACAAAGGTTGGGATTGAGTCCCATGCATTTTTGAAACGTATACAAGGGGATATTTGTGCACCTATTCACCCACCTAGTGGGTCGTTTAAATATTTTATAGTCTTAATAGATGCATCTTCTATATGGTCTCATGTGTGCCTATTAATGGCACAAATAATTCGATTACGAACACAGTTTCCCGATAATCCAATTAAATCTATTCGACTTGATAATGTTGCTGAGTTTTCATCCCAAGCATTTAATGATTATTGCTTATCAATTGAGATAAAAGTGAAACATCTTGTAGCTCATGTTCACACTCAAAATGGTCTTGCAGAGTCTTTGATTAAACGTTTGCAATTGATAGCAAGACCGTTACTCATGAAAACGAGATTACCCACTTCTGTTTGGGGTCATGCCATTTTGCATGCAGCAATGCTAGTTCGTCTTAGACCGACAAATTATCATAAATATTCCCCGTTGCAATTGATTTTGGGTCATAAACCTAATATACCTCATTTAAGAATTTTTGGGTGTGCAGTATATGTGCCTGTAGCATAGACATATCGCATCAAGATGGGACTCCTACAGAACTCGAAAAGACAATTGATTATTTAAAGAAGGAATTCGAGATGAAAGATCTCGGAAAGACAAAATTATGTCTTGGTTTGCAAATTGAACATTTGGCAAACGGGACTTTTGTTCATCAATCTGCCTACATAGAAAAGGTATTGAAACGGTTTTACATGGATGGAGCACATCCATTAAGTACTCCGATGAGTGTTCGATCACTTGATGCGAATAAGGACTCGTTCCGACCTCAAGAAAAGAATGAAGAACTTCTTGGTCCTGAAGTACCATATATTAGTGCAATTGGTGCACTAATGTATCTTGCTAACACTACGAGACCTGACATAACTTTTTCAGTTAATGTCTTGGCAAGATATAACTCTGCTCCTACAAGGAGACATAATGGAATTAAACACATATTGCGGTATCTAAAAGGGACTACCGATATGGGCTTATTTTATGGCAATGATTGCAGCCCAGATCTTGTTGGTTTATCTAGAGATTTGCTGATTTGTTCACCAAATCTCTACCGACGTCAACCTTCGAGAAAGTAGTGTACAAGATTGGGATGCGAAGGCTCAAGGATGTGAATTGATGCTCTCATCAAGGGGAGTTAATATATGGTGTACTATTTTCCCTTACAAGGTTTTGTTCCGCTGGATTTTTCTTGCAAGGTTTTTAATGAGGCAACCAAAAAGCGTATTTTTAAATATGTGTACTCTTTTTCCTTCACTAGGATTTTTTTTCTAATAAGGTTTTAACGAGGTACATTATCTATGGACATCCAAGGGGGAGTGTTATAAGAAATTATGGTAGATGTCTATCTTCCTCTATGATCTTCCTCTCAAATGCTTAATGACATATTTCTTCATTTTTCATGCCTATATAGAGGCATTGTAATAGATGGAAATAGCACACAATTGAAAAAGAAATAAGAATCTCTTCTCTCTTTCTCTATATATCTCTTAACTTGTTTTTCTTTGTTCTATATTTTTACTTTGAGTTATATTTTATAATAATTTTGTTGATATTAAATAAATTGATCAAAGAATTAGTATGGTGTAAATTGCATGAAATGACAACTTTGACTGTGACATGTCATCTTGATTGATTTGACTATACCGATTGCATTTTTCTAATACCAAATAATTTTCTTTACTAAAGCAAAAGAGATAGCACTTGCTAATAAAGGAAGCAATATTCAACATGATACAATCAACTAAATCATATCCCAAGTTCAATTTGAGAAAATGAATTCTAAATTCGCTTATCTTGCTAGTGTGAAACCAAGAAAAGGCATTACTTATATTTATACTATAATAGAACTTTTGTGCAACGCAAGTCCATTATTTAAATTAGTAGCTATAATATCCTATTTCTCAAAGAGATGGAATTATACTATAATAGAACAGTGCCATATTTTATGTGAAAATAAAAATTTATATAAACAATGCTACATTTTATGTGGGGATTATTTCTTCCTATTTTTGTAACCAAAAGACACTTAATAGAATTTTTGTTCTTTTTTCGTTATACTAGAATTCTTGTTGGACTACCATTTACTTTTATTAATGATGACATGTAAGATACGCCAATTTTTAAAAATAAATGAGGAAAAATCACGCAATAAAAAATGTTATATACTAATAGCTTGTTTCCTCAAGCTTATTTTTGGCTAAAAGTATTTTTTTTATTAAAAGTATTTTTTTACCACTAAGGTATTTGGTGAAGTTTTTAGAAGGAAAAAATGATTTCTAGTAGTTTTTGAGAAAAAAGAATAAAATAATTTCTCTCCAAAATAACTTTTGAGAAAAATATATTTAGATGCACTTTCGAAAAACTTGATCAAATACTAATCGGTGGTCAAAAATTCTTTTTAAATAATTAGCCAAATATAAATGACTTTTCACCAAAAAATATTCACGTCCTCACGTGTATATATTTGTACACTCATAATTTAACTTCTTTTAGTAAAATTTCTGGTACACCTTTCAAAAATGGAGCTTTTTCAAAATTTGAGACGGCAAATCAAAAGCTCCAATTTTAAAACTTTGAGCTAATTATTTGCGCGTACTAGTCTCATCACACAAACTTCTGAAGAAATAATTGAAGGTCGCTGGTGTCGTCCTTGTTCTCCTCAGGTAAATTCCCTAAAACCCTAGCTATATTTCTTCCTCTTTTGTTTTTCTCTATATATTATTTCATCGATTTAGAATCCTTATGTTAGATCTCTTGTAGCTATTATTTTGGAATTGCATTTTTTTTTTGGGTACCTAATCCACCTGATTTTTAATAGAAAAATTTCTTCTTGATATTAATACTTATTGAATACCTTTGGCATTAATCCAATTTCGTGCAAAAATCTTGGTCAATTTCTCTGGAATTTTAATGGGTTTGTGTTTATATTTTCTCTTTGTTTGTAGATTTTGCGGCATCAAGGTTTTATTGATTTTTTGAGAAATTCCAAATTTTAAAAAAGGGAAGTGCGGAAAAGGGTGTAGTAATGAGTGATATAAAAATGGAGGGGACGTCGGCTCCAGCAGTAAGGCGAGACCCGTACGAGGTGTTGTCTGTTTCAAGGGATTCGTCTGATCAGGAGATTAAGACTGCTTATAGAAAGCTTGCTCTCAAGTAAGTTATCCCTAAACACAAATATTCCTAATTTAAATTCATAGTTAGTTTTGTTATAATGGAAGAAAAACATCTATATATGCAATACCTATTAATTACTCTGTTTCATTTATGTGGTTATAAGACATTTGAATCTTAAACATGCCGTAATATTTGTATGGCTATAAAGCTTCTCATAAAGAATAAAATGCACAAGTTTAAAGTTTTCCAAATGTAGAAATGTATCTTTCTTTTGGAAATGGACTAATAAGTAAATAATTTCACATCAATTGAAAATAATTGAGAATATATTTTAGTCATGTTAACACTTTTACTTTACATCCCATAATTTTCTAGGAGTTGTTCATAGATTTATATGTCAGTAGAAAATGTAATGAACTTCTAGTACTTTTTGATTTGTTTTTATTTGGATAACATTGGCCTAAGATAGTTTAAATAGAGTGAAATGATCAATAAGGATTTATATAGCCGACTCCAAGTTGTTTGAGACTAACGCATAGTTGTTATTGGCGTTTAACTGTGTAATTGGAATGAAATAGACCTAAATATAGCATAATAGATACAACAACAACAACAACATACCCAGTATATTCCCAACAGGTGGGGTCTGGGGAGGGTAGTCTGTACGCATACCCTACCCCTACCTAATGAAGGTAGAGATGCTGTATTCTATAGATCCTCGGCTCGGATAGAAGAAGAAGGAGGAGAAGGATACGTAGTACCAAATTGTTAGTTTACAGTTATGTATATAGTGTAGTCTTGTCCCACATTGGAATAGGAGTAGTATGTCTTGTATTGTATTGAACATCCAATATCAATAACATATTTTCTCCCGTGCTTTCTCACATGGTATCAGAGCTTTATCGCTGTGCATAAATTCTAGCGATTCCGGGAAGAGAAATCAGTCAGCAAAAGTCTTTTTCTGGCGACTCTTTTTTAAGGCTGTTTTGCGTCTGCTTCGTCTCCGTCAGTGTTGTGCAAAATCCTTCACTGCCACAAGAGTCGTCACTGTTCGGCGACCAAATCCCAGTGAAAATCTCTGGCAGCAGCCTCCTCACGCGCCTCCACGCGCCACCAGAAGCTCACGCGCGTGAGCTCACGCGTCGGCGCGCACGACCACTTCCGGCAATTTTTTGAAAAACTTCCTTCAGAACAGTTGGGTCGCCTAGTAATTCCGATCCTACCCCTACTGTTTTCATTTCATTCCGACTACTTTGAGTTTTTCCGACAGCTACAGTAAGATTCCGGCAGCTACAATATTTCATTATTCTGTTTCTGTGTTTCCTTACTCTGTTTCAGTGGATTACAATTGATTCTTTCTCTTATTTGGTAATAGNCCATACCAACCGTTGAGGAGTCTAGTGTTGTTCCTCCTAGTTCCCCAGCCACAGGAACACCACTTTTGACTTATCATTG